ACGCGCGCGCGGAAAGTCCAAGTGCCGGCCTCCTCCTGCAGGTCGCGGGTGTCCGAGATAGCAGCATCCCCCACCAAGAGGAAAACTGGACTCTGCTTGGCAGTGTCCCTGCAGCACTGAGCGCTCAGGACCTTCGTGCTGCCATCGGCGAGGTAGGCCACCTGGTCGGCCTGGCAGACGTCAACGCTGGGCTCCGACTCCGTCTCCGAGTTGGGGTCCATCTCCTCCGCCTTGCTGGCGGGGTGCCCCGGCTTGGGGTGCCTCATCCTCTTTCGGGCACAGCGCCTGAGTAGTTGGCCCATTGCCTTTCCTACGCCTCGGCCCGCCCAGGCGCAGCAGAGCCCCCCGCCTGCGCGGGCCCGGCCTGCGGGGGAGAGCTTGGCCAGATCCGCCACGTTGATCGGGGAGCTGCGGGGCGCGACGCACGACGAGCAGACATGCACCATCGCCTTGTCCCCAGCGGGAAGCGTGCACGTTGTAGTGGCGCACAGGTGGACCATCCCGATACCGTCGTCGTCGCGGGTAGCCTCCAGGTCCGCCTTCAGGTGCCGATGCGAACTCCCCTTCACCTCCCGAAACTTGTAGACGCACCCGTGGCGAGTGAGCCGGCCACCCTTCAGTGGGCCCTGTTCAAGTCTAGCCACGGAGCCTCCCGAACGGACGATGAGGTCGTTGGGCATCATCTTCTCTGCCCCTCCTCCTCGGCCTCGGACCTCGGTCTTGATGTAGTCTTCGCCAATCTCGAGGGCCTCGGCGCTGCCATGCCAGGTGAGCGCTGCGGCTGTGTTGCCGTCCAGCGCCAGCTTCACGTCGTGCCCTGACTTGCTGCCCTGCGCGAAGCCTCTCATCGTGGAGAACGGCAGTGTCAGGTATCTCCATGCCGTGCCCACGAACCAGATCACAACGCCTACGGTGGAGCCCAGCACGGTGCCAACCGCGATCGCCACCATGGCTATAGCAGCCCACTGCAGCCTGGCCCAGTAGGCGCCGAGCATGTAGCGGCCCATGGAGTCCACCAGTCCCATGATGAAGGCGATGAGTTGGTGGAGGAGGGCGCCCAAGGCATAGCCCGTCCTCTCTCCCAGCCACTTCAGTGCAGCCTCGACTCCTGCGCTGACTCTCTCCCTGGAGAAGAGCGGCAGCTTCGGCTCGGCGTCGAGGGGAGGGGCGTCCTGCTGCGGCGGTGCCTTGCCGTCCCCAATGGCGTTGACGACGCCGCCCGACCTCGGCGGGGGCGGGGGAGGGCTCTCCTCTGCGGTTCGCGCCTCCTCAGCCTGGCTCTCCCGCCTGACCTCGTCCCGGGTCGGAGCCAGCCTCCTGGGCGTCTCCGTCTCCTCCTCCGCCAAGGAGCTCCTGGGAGGGGGCTCCGGCCTCGCCTCCACTGGGAGGTCGTCGGCGCAGTAGTAGCCGTAGTAGCGGTGGTACTCCTGGTCTCTCCCGCTGCTTTCGGCGGAGCGCTCGTCCAGACCGGCCATGGCCGGCGGCGGGTCCGTGACCAAGGGCTCGTTAGGGGCAAGGAGCGCCGCTGATGGAGGTGGCCTGACCGGCGCCCCCACCGCTAGCAGCTCGTCACTGTCCGCGGCGCTGCAGCTGGCTCCACGCGTATCCTCCGGCGAAGCCTGCTGCTCATCAGGGGCGCCCTCTTCATCGGGGTGTGCCCGTTCATGGCCTCCTTCCTCGGGACTCGCCATGGTGGCCGTCGCGTGCACAGTCGCATACCAGCTCACGCCGAACGACGAGTCCAGCCAAGTGACCAGCGCCCCAACAGCTAGCGCAAGCGTGCACTCAATGCTGCGGAGCGCCCTCATGCCTCCTCGCCGCTGCGCCCGACCAGGCGCGCCACCGAGGATGGATCCGCGGGCCTCACTCTGCTGCGGGCCGCGGGGCTCCCCTCCGGAGCCCCCGCCCGCACTGGAGGGGGGACCTGGCCCAGCCACTACCCAGCACTCCTCAGAGTGCCCGTGCTATGGCCCCGCCCGCCCACCCCAAAATGCAAGCGGCTCCTCGGAGCCTTGAGAAACACGGCAGCGGGAGAGGACAAGAGCAGAGAGGAGGCTGCGAGGCGGGAGGAAACACACTGTTCTCACGAACGATCACTCGGCGCTGCGAATCGCGTAGCGGGAACAGGACGCCCCGCGAATTCCCAAGAGGCATTCTCCTCTTCCTCCTCAGTTTCTCCCTCCCCCCCTCTCTCCCTCCCCTCCTCCTCCTCCTCCTCCTCCTCCTCCTCCTTTTCCTCCTCCTCCTCCTCCTCCTCCTCCTCCTCCTCCTCCTCCCCCTCCTCCATGCGCGGCCGGAGCGAAACGATTGGCGGTGCAACACGCGTGGCTGGAATGAGACGCGGCGCACTTCGCGCGCTGGACATCTTGTCGCCGACGATGCAACATGAGAGGCCGGAGCGGGGCGCGGTGTACATCGCGCGCGGTCTTGTTTCTCGTCGACGCTGCTCAATGCGCGGCAGGAATAGGACGCAGCTCATGTCGCGCGCTGAACGTCTAGCCGCTCACGATATAAGATGAGCGACAGGCGTCGGACGCGACGCACTTGCTTCTTATGTTGTGGGAGGGCGGGTGGGAGTGGACGGAGCCCTCTGGCTCGTTCGAGCTGGCTAACTTGACTCCGTCCCCCTACTCCGGCGACTGGTCTATTGTGCCGCCCGTTGGTCTTTTGTGCGGCCCGTTGGGTTCTTGTGCGGCACGGCGCGCGGCCTGGGTGGGTCTTGCTTCGGCCCGCGCTGACCCTTCAATTCGAAGTAATGTGTAAAGATTTCCTTTCTTTGCTCTGGAAACCCTGGCAACCCTGAAGGGCTTACGTTCCCGCCCAGAACAAGGTGGCCGCACAAAGGACCACCTGGAGGCGCGTTGGAAGCAATCGAATAGTAGTTGTGCCAATGTAACATTCCAAAAACATTTTTTGAAGCAACGTGATAAGCCAAGCTGCATATCCGAGGGTGTGTTCACCGGTGGATGACATGTTTAGAGAAGCGAGCTCGAAACACTAGTCCTCCTGGGCATCACGATCATCATCACATTCATCCTCATCCTCTCCGTCATGATCATCCCCCCCTCGTCTTGCACTTGTCAACATCACATGCGCAATCTTCCTTCAGCTCTCGTCCTTGTCATCATAACCATGGCCCCCATGTTCGTTGTTCTGGCCCCTCACTCCTACCTTGTCCCGCTCCTCCTCCTCCTCCTCCTCCTCCTTGTTCATTGTTCCTCCTGTCACTTCGCACTATGCTCCTCCCGCTGCATGATCCTGTTGCCTCCATTCCTGCTAGCTCCTCCTGCTGCTTACATTTATGTCGGCTCCTTCTGCTGCACGATCCCCCCGCCTCCTCCTCCTCCTCCTCCTCCTCCTCCTACTCCTCTCCCTCGCCTCCTCCACCTCATCCACCACTACATCCTCTTGCCTCATCTTGCTCCTTCTCCTCCTCCTCCTCGTCCTCATTCTGTCTCCTACTGCCTTTTCCTCCTTGTCGTCGTCCTCGTCCTCGCCCTCAGCTTAGTCGTCCTCCCTCTCTCCCCCTCCTCCTCCTCACCATCATCAGCTAGTCATCGTCATCGACATCATCGTCGACATCATCGGAATCGGAATCATGCTCAGAATCCTCATCATCGTCGTCGCCAACATCATCAGCAACATCATCACCACCACCATCGTCACCACCGCCACCATCATCACCATCATCATCATCACCACCATCACCACTATCATCGTCATCATCATCACAATCACCACCGTCACCGTCATCGTTGCTGTCATCGGCATCGTCGTCGTCCTCCTAATCATCACATTCAGCTTCAGAATCAGCATCGGCACCATCAACATCATAACCAACAGCATCATCATCATCAGCAGCAGCAGCAGGATCGGCATTAGCACCAACACCATGCTCGTCCTCATCCAATTGATCCTCCTCCTCATCCTCCTCCGTCGGCAGGTAGTCTTCCTGCTGCTGCGAATGGGGCGGCCCGTTTGCAAGTCGCGTGGCCGCTCGAGGATGAGGAGGAGGATGAGGAGGAGGTGGAGGAGGAGGAGCAGCAGCAGCAGCAGCAGCAGCAAGAGGGAGAGGGACAGGGAGGAGGGGAGGCTCTTCAGAGGTGCCCAAACAGCCCTTCAGAGGGGCCCAGGGGCTCGTCAGGGGTGCAAGACGCTCTTCAGGGGGGCCACGAGGCTCTTCAGGGGCCACCCCAAAGAGCTTCTCAGGGTGCCCAAGAGGCTCGTCAGAGGCCCCAAGGCGTTTTTGTTGTCAGAGGCTTTTCGAGGCCCCAAGAAGCTCTTCAGAGGCCCCAGTGGGCCCTTCAGAGGCCGCAAGAGGCTCTTCAGAAGCCCCAAGAAGCTCTTCAGGGGGGGCAAGACGCTCTTCAGGGGGGCCCCGAGGCTCTTCAGAGGCCACCCAGAAACTCTTCAGAGGCCCCAAGAAGCTCAGCAGATGCCCCGAGATGCTCTTTAGAGGCCCCAGGAGGCTCTTCAGAGGCCCCAAGACGCTCTCCAGGGGGCCCAGGACGCTCTTCAGGGGGCCCAAGAGGCTCTTCAAGGAGCCTTCAAGGGGCCCAGAGCCCCAAGACGCACCTCAGGGGGCCCAGGAGGCTCTTCAGGGGGGCCCAAGAAGCTCTTCACGGAGCCTCCAACGGGCCCAAGAGGATTCATAAAATCCGGAAAACCCTGGGCCGTACTAAAGGCCACTGGGCCTTACAAAGGCCCATCTGGCCGCCCTACTCTCCCCCTCCACTCCTCCCCCTCCCCTCCTCCCCATCCCCTCCCCTCCCCCTGCCCTCCGGCGGGGGCGCAGTCCTTGCGCCCTGCAAATGGGTGCCAGCGCGTACCTCAAACGCTCTGCGCTGGCCACCCAGGGACGACCGTTGCTCGCAATAGGCGCCAGCCCCTCCCCCCTCGTCCGCATCCTCGTCCTTGTCCCTGTCTTCGTCCCCCCCCCCTCCTCCTTCCCGCGCGCGGACGGGCCAGACGGGGCTGGGTCTGGCTGCCGAGGCGGGCGCCGGGTTGTAGCCAACGCCGAACAGGGGGCCCTGGGCGTCCGAGGCACCCGCCCGCGCCGCCAGGTCCCCACGGGAAGTGTCATCATCATCATCATCATCATCATCATCATCATCATCATCATCATCATCATCATCAGCATCATCATCATCATCACCATCATCATCGTCATCATCATCATCAGCAGCATCATCTTCATCATCACCATCATCATCATCGTCATCATCATCATCGTCATCATCATCATCACCATCTTCATCATCATCAACAACAACATCATCATCACCATCATCAGCATCATCCTCAGCAGCATCATCAACACCAGCATATTCATCATCCTCATCATCATCATAGTCACCATCATCAATATCACCACCATCTTCAGAATCATCATAATCATCATCAACAGCATCATCAACATCAGTATCAGCATCATCGCCACCACTATCGCAAGCATCATCACCATCATCATGGTCATCACCAGCAACATCATCATCAGCAACATCATCATCATCATCATCAACAGCAACACCATGATCATTGACATCGCCACCATCATCAATGTTATCACCTTTGTCATCATCAGCAACAGCATCTTCATCATCACATCAATCATCATCAACACCATGATCATCAGCAACATCATCGTCAACAACAACATCATCACCGTCATAATCGACAGTACCATCATCATCATCATCACCATCATCAGCATTGTAATCATCAAAACCATCGTCATCATCAATCACGTCAACATTAACAATATTCTCATCAGCAGTGTCATCATCACCGGCATCATCATCATCAACGTTATCATCATCATCACCACCATCACCTTACACCCATAAACAATAACATAGTCAGCATACATCTTTGTTCCACCAAAAGTAGTTCTCATCGTCAACATCATCGTCACCATGACCATCACCATCATCATCACCAGAATCATCATTACCCTCCAGATCATCACTATCACCATTACAATTACCATCTAAATCACCATCATCATCATCATCATCATCATCATCATCATCATCATCATCGTCATCATCGCCATCATCCCCATCAGCATCGTCGTGGCCATCGTCAGCATTGTCAGCATCATCATCGTCATGGTCAGCATCATCATCCAGATCATCACCATCATCATAATCATCATCAAAATCATCATCAACAACATCAGCATCACCATCACCATCACTATCATCAGCATAAGAACCCTCAACGTCGTCAGCATCATCAGCAGCATCCTCATGAACAGTACCCTAATCACCATCATCACCATCATCAGTATTATTATCATTTTGCTAAGCATCATTATCATCAGCGCCATCACTATCAACATCACCACCATCATCCCCACCATCATCATCATAGTCACCATCACCAGCATAATGATGATGATGCTGATCATCATCATGATCAGCATCATCATTATGAGCATCATTTGCGTCGCCAGTATCAGCCGCGGCATCAACACCAGCATTATTACCACCACCACCACCACCATTAGCATCATCATAATCATAATTATCATCATCAACATAATCTCCAGTTCATTGTATTCGTCGTTATCCTCCTCCTCCTCCTCCTCGTCCTCCTTCGCCTGCTAGTTTCGCCCTCGAGGATCGAGGGGAGTTTTTCTCTGACACTTTCGCGTGGTACTCGGTGGCTCTGGGCCCTCTTTGGACCTCCGGAGGCCTCCGGGGACCTCGCGGGGATATCCAGATCCGCGGCGGCAGCGAAACTCGACTACCGCCTCCATTTCCACCTCCACCATCTCCACCTCCCAGTCCTCCACCTCCTAGCTCTCCCCGCTCCTCATCATACTCCGCCTTTAGTAACTTCCAGCTTATGGGGCAAGGGAAGAGGACGGTAAGATGAAAGGGGAGGGGAGGAGAAGAACGCAAGAGGGGAGGAGTGGAGTGGAGGAGGAGGAGGATAATGGGAGGGAAGGGGAGGGGGTGGAAAGGAGAGGGGAAAGGCCAGGAGAGCGGAGAGGGGTGGTCAAGCTAGGTGCGCTCGTGTCTCGTCTGGCATCCTTCCCCTCACACCCGTTCCTTGGCATGACCCTCCGTCGCCGAGTCGGGCGTTGAATGAGGCCTCGGTGGTTGGCCCGTCTTCGGCTGCACGCGGAGAGACAGGACGAAGTGGAGCCAGGCAGCCCGCAGCCAGGTCGGGTGACGTCTCTGTGGGCAGAGACGAAACACACGACCCAGGGACGCTGTGCTAGAACCATGCAAAGGGGTAGATGTGGGAGGGGGCGGGGAGCTGTTTACAAGAGGAAGGGAGAATGATGGCATCTGTTTTTTGGGGGAGAGAAGAGGGAACAGGGGCAGGAGGAGAAGGAGGAGGAGCAGGAGAAAGAGGCGGAGGCGGAGGAGGAGGAGGAGGAGGAGGAGGAGAGTGGCGAAGGATGAGAGGAAAGGAGAAGAAACGAGGGGGAGGATGGGGAGGAGGAGGAGAACATGGAGGAGGAGGAGGAGGAGGAGGAAAGAGGCGAAGGAGAACGGGAGGAGGATAAAGGGAGAACGATGAGGAGTAGAAGGGGAGGAGGAGGAGGAGGAGGAGGAGGAGGAGGAGGAGGAGGAGGAGGAGGAGGATGAGGAGGAGGAGGAGGAGGAGGAGGAGAGAGGAGGGAGGAGGAGAGGTTGAGACAGGCGGCGAAGCGAAAGGAGAGGGAATGTGAAGCAGGAGGAACATAAGTAAGACGAAGAGGTACGACCATACATACAGAAGAGACGAGGAACGGAGACATGTGGGGAACGCTCACTGTTTGATCACTTCGCTAATCAAAAAACGAGGGGGGAAAGGGGAATCGTGAGGAGGGGAGGGGGGAGAACCAGATGCATGCGGCATGAGCACGAGGAAGGAAGTGACAGCGATGCCGCCCAGAACACGGAGACCGCAGCAAGACCTCGAGGGGAGAACGGCACTCATAATGACAATATTATCGCTAGAGGCACCTGTGGCGATGAACGAGGCGGAGACGCTCGCTGGAACGACCCGAGGCATTCCAAGTGGGAAAGCAAAAACCATGAGATCCATAAACTGTCGAAATCCGGAGCGGGGGAACACCTGAGCTCCACCTTATCTTGGGGGATCCCGCGGGCACGAGCCTCCGGCGCGCCGACGCCGCCGTCCGCGAGCAGCTCCAGGCCTGCGGCCTCCACAGTGTGTCGCCGCGCAACTCCTGCCCCCAGGCGGTAGCGGGGCCGCTCGCGCACGCGGCCCACTCGGCCGACGTCGCTGGGCCCCCACAGTGAGCAAGCCAAGCCGAAGCCGCCGAGGGACGCGTCCGACTGGTAGACCCCTGGGATCCATCTGGCGCCCGAGTCCGCCTGGAGAAAGATCATCAGGCCCATGAAAGCCTGCGACTCCTCGACCACGCTCTGCCACAACGCGGCCCTGTCGAAGTAGCGACGCTGGATGATGCGGTAGACGCAGTGGAAGCAGCTCAGACTCTCGCGGCGCACCAGGCCTAATAATGCGAGGTGGCCCACGATGATCTCCAGCTCCACGCCGCTCACCTCGTGGCGCCGCAGCCGCGCCTGCACGGCGCCACGCAAGCGCCAGAACCTGGAGGGCGTGGGGCGCGTACAACCGCCGCGGCCGTTGAGCTGCACCCGCAGCGCCCTTCCGCCATTGTTCTCCAGCGCGGCCACGCGCACCTCGAGGCCCACCTTGCCAAGCGACTCCGTGGCCGCCACCAGCGCCGACCTCGCCTGGCCCTCCGAGCCCCCCAGCACTCCGATGTTGTCCACGTAGGTGCAGTGGCCGAGGGCCCGGGGGCCATCCAGCAGCAGCGGGGGGCCGCGATCCGCCGTGGGCAGGGCGCCGTCCAGCTCGCGCAGCAGCGTCACGCGACGCGCGTTGGCCGCCTGCGCGAAGCGTAGCGACCACGCCCGGCCCATCGGCAGCGCGCGGGCCCGCGGGTAGATCAGCGCGCCCCGCTCGATCGCCGCCCCGCACAGCTGCCAGAAGCCGAGCTCGGCGGCGCGCAGCGGCGGATAGCCGAAGAACCCCCGAAGGCCGGGCCCGTCGTCCAGGAGCAGCCTGTGGAAGCAGTCCTTCACGTCGCTCACACCGAGGCCGCCCAAATCGTCGTCCAGCGCCTCGCCTCGGTCGAAGCCGCTCGCAGCCGACCTCTCGACGCGGCTGAGACCGTCGCCGCTGACAAGGTCGACCGCGGGCGGGCCTCTGAACAAGCGATTCGCTGGGCGGCAGTCCAGGATCAACTGCTGGCGGTCGCCCGTCCTCTCGACGAAGAAGATCCCCACCTGGCAGCGGCAGGTGGTCGACAGGCGCACTAGGCCTATCTTCAGCAACCGCTTCACCAACCCGACGTAGGCAGGGCACTTATGGCTCCAAACTGGGTCCACATAGGGTCGAACGGGGCCGCATCTTGCGTGGCCTTCGCCCGCCTCCGCAGGCGAACGCATCGCGCGGCTCTCAAAGCCCTTCAACTGAATCCGCGCCGCCTCTGGCAGCAGGTCCATGACGCGTGGCGAACCCGCCAGGTCCTCTGGGGCCGACAGCCGAGCGTGGGAGAAGGGGGTCAGCGTCGCGTGGTCCAGCTGGGCGTAGCCGCCTCGGCCCCGCAGCAGTCGTGCTAGACATTGCCGCGAATCCTCCGCGCGGGCGGGGGGGGGCCCAGCTGGCCGCCAGGACCTGCGCCCGCCGCTGCGTCTCGTGCTGCAGCTCCGCCACGCGGCATCGCGTGGCCAGCTAGGCGGCGCGCCAGGCGCCCGCCTCTCAGCGCCGTGCATCCAATTCAGAGCAGCCGGGCTCTCGTTGGCCAACAGCCGCGCACGTGCCCGATCCCGTCGACCAAGCGAACCAGCGACGTCGGCGTCCAGCTCGCGCAAGGGCGGCAGTGGGAAGATCCGCCCGCAGCGCATGGCCTCTGCCTCCAGGCCGGGAGGGCGGCCTCACCCCTGGCGTCGCGCCCGTCATTTTGGCAGGGCGGCGGCTGCCGCGTCGCTGGGCCTGACCTTCCGCCCGCGACCGCGACCGCCACCGCCGCCTTTAC